AAACCCTGTACAGGGTCACTATGAGTCGGAACTGACTCCACGGCACTTAACAAGAATGTTTATGAGAGCCATCAGCCACATCTTTCTTCCTTTTCTGTGGAGGGGCTAGTGGATTTGAACTGCTTAACTTTTGGTTAGTAGTTAAGTGCTTAACAACTGCGCTACCAGACATCACTAGAACCGTCTTCTGTTTATGGTGAGAGAGGCTAGCTTTTATTTACTGTATACTATCTAATTTTATTTTGAAATAAATATCTCTTTTTAAAAGGGCATATCTATGTAAAGAAAGTCAAGTAAACAATATTACTGTGACTAAACTGACAAGGCAAAAATGAGTGATGGTGGTTGAAGTTTGGAAAACCCTGAGTGGATTAACCCGGATAAATTCGGTGGATTTGGATAATGAAAGAGCTTTTTGGAAATGACATTTTCACTCTTGTTTTCCTGGTTGACCTAAAGTATACATTTTATCAAGGCAGTGGGTGTAGGAGACCCTTCTCCAGGTCATCTCTGGAGGGAAGTATTAGGCAGCTAGGAACCCTGGCTCCAGCGTCTCTGGACTGAGTGGCTAACCCTCAGAGGTTAGAAGGCAGAGTCCAAGAAACAGTGCCCAGAGAGAGCCAATTCTAAAGTCACCTTGGTCAATCTCCCAGTTGTTACGGCCTGAGAACTGGGTTTCGACTCAGATTGCCCGCTTGTTTCTCCTAGAGCTTTTCCATTCTAACCATGCAATAGTTACCTAACGTGACCATTCAGGAAATACCACAGGCACAGTGTGTGTTCTAGAGGTGGGCATTTAAGCTTACAAAGTACCTGTACTGTCCTTTCTCTCTGCATTTGGCCCTTATCACAGCCCTGGGAGTTTTTTCCTGTGTCATCCTGATGTGGTGCTATAGGATAAGCACTGGATCACAAGGTCAGAACTACAAGGTCAGAGGTTTACGCCCACCACTTGCTCCTTAGAAACCCTATACAGAGTTATGAGTCGGAACCAACTCAATGGCATGTAGCAACAACATCTGATGGGTGAGAAGACTTTCCTAGTAAGTGGCATGGTAACATCTGACTCCTAGTCCAGCACTCTTTCCCTCATCAATAGGATCTCTCTGTGTCCTGTCGGCACCTAAGAAACCCTGCTTGACCTCTCTACACTTGCTTTAGGGTATATTTGTGCGCAGATCTGTTGGAGCTTGGCATCCACGGTTTGTGTGTCAGAGGGCATTCTGGCTCCATCGTCCTTGCTCCGCCCCATTGTTTTGCCCCGCCCCCATCCCTGACTGTTGTTGTTGTTAAGTGCCGTCGAGTCAGTTCCGACCCATAGCGACCCTGTACAGGGTTTCCGAGGGTGTAAATCCTTACGGGAGTAGAGAGCTCTTTTCTCAGCCCTGCCCCAGGCTCCAGCCACACCTTCAGGCCCCCGGCAATTCCTCAAGTCGCTCCACCCCTTCCCCTCTGCTCACAGCCCAGGTCCCACAATGATTGTGACGGGAAAGGTGGCTCCGTCCTAACAGCCCCTAACCTCTGGGCCTCACCTCGTTATTCTCCGCGCCTCCAGGTGGCTCGGGGAATCTCTCCGGCGCTTTCTCATGGGCGAGTAGGACCGACGTCTCCGCCGTGCTCGCTCTCGCTGCTGCGAGTCTTTCTCACTGTATTTGGGGTCGCGCTCCCTGAAGAAGCAAGGGAGGGGTTACTTGGGAGCTGGGACTGTCTGGTTTCTCACTTCCTCTCAGTACCAGCCCCCGCCATCTCACTAGGGGCAGGAGGTTGGGGTCCAAGCAGGCCCTGGAGCTGAGCGAAAATGGGGTGAGCGCTGGGGCATTGGAGGGGCGAGGGTGTAAGAGAAGAGGGTATGGATGTTATGTTGTTCTTCATGCCTGAGCAAGAATTGTTAAGTGCCATCCAGTCGGTTCTGACTTGGCGACCCTTCTTTATAGGGTTTCCAAGGAGCAGCTGGTGAATTTGAACCGCCAAGTCCTACAGCGCCACACCAGGACTTGTTAAGTGCCGTCTAGTTGGTTCCGACCCATAGCGACCCTGAACAGGGAGGGTTTCCAAGGTTATAAATCTTTACGGGAACAGAAAGCCTCATCTTTCTCCTGCGGAACAGCTGGTAGTTTCCAACTGCTGACCTTGCGGTTTGCAGCCCAATTCGTAACCACTATGGTGCCAGAGCTCCTTGCCAGGACTTAGGTGTCGTCCTATGTCAGGATAAGGGCTAGGGATGTGACTTCTGGAATGTGGGGTTATCGGGGTGGGTTCATTAAGATGCAAGAATATATTTGGGGTGTGGCACTGTAGGATAGGCACTTAGATAACCATATGGTCTGCAGTTCAAACACATCAATCAGCAGCTCTCAGAAACCCTACACAAGGTTGCTGCGAGTCCACCTGATTGGCGGCGGCACACAACAACAACATTCTAAGAAAGGAGCTTTGGTGGCGTAGTGGGTTAAATGCTGGGCCTGCTCATCGCAAACCCACCAACAGTTCTGTGCACAGTTAGGACGCAGTCGACTCCGTAAAGAGTAGTCCGATTCTGTTCTATGTTGTGTAGTGCCGTTGAGTCGGTCCAACTCATAGCCACCCTGTATTGGGGGGGGTTTCCAAGGAGCTGCTGGTGGGTTTGAACTGCTGATCCTACAGATCCACACCAGGAATCCTATATTGTTGTTGTTGTTAAGTGCTGTAGAGTTAGTACTGACCCATAGCGACTCTGCATACCGTTTCCGAGAAGTAGCTGGTGACTTTGACCCGCTGACCTAGAGGTTAAAACCGACCTTGCGGTCCAGCGCATTAATCCACAATGGTACACCAGGATTCCTGTAGTGGCCTATAAGGCAGAACCAACTCAGTGGTAGAAGGAGTGCATTATGCCACTCCTGGCAAAAGGAACTGTACGAATGCTGTCAACTCTATGAGCAAGCAGTGGGTCACTGAGGCGGGGCCCTCGGCCAGGGGCGTGGCCCTACACTAGGCGGGACCCTCGACCAATGACTGGGCCTGGAAGTGGGAAGGGGTAAATCCCCAGCCAGGGTCAGACAGGTACCTGCTGGGGCTGTAGCGGGAGTAGCTGGGGCTTCGGCGGGATCGAGAGTTTCTGCTGGGTGGACTCGGCTTGCCCGACTTGGAGGAATAGCTGGGAGAACGTGAGTAGGACCTGGGGGAAAGGAAACCAGCCCTGAGGAACCTGCAAAGCGACCACCTGAAAATGAAATTCCTCCCCACTGGGCAGTCAGTACAGTGAAACCTGTGAGAGCTGGAACTCAAAGGGGCTGCCTTGTTTTTCTGAGTCTCTAAGATTTCTATCTCTGACGGTGCCGTCTTACTATTTTCTATCACGCGGTTTAGTGGAAAATACTAGAAATTTCCTTCTCTGATATGGAAAGCTTTTTCTTACTAAGTAATTCCTCTCCTGGCCACTTCCCAGCTGTGTGACCTTGGGCAGGTGACATGTCTGGGCTTTGCTTTCTCATTTGCAAAATGGGAATAATAATAGAATTTATAGGGAAGGAGTGGACATGGTTATTAAACACTCCGCTACCAACTGAAAGGTTGACCGTTCGAATTTACCTCAGGAGAAAAGCCTGCTCCTTGTCGTCTGAAACACAGAGAACCCTGTAGGGTAGGTGTCCTCTGTCACACAGCGCTCACTGTTGTTAAAAATCCACTCAAGGGCATCTAATAACAACAACCCTACAGGTCTGAAATTAAACAAGTAACTTGAAGTAAAACACTTAGCACATTGGCATATCGCTGGGCATAGGAAATAGTAGCTATAATTATTGTATATTTTATTATGTGCCAAATAGGAAACTGAATGCTGTGTGTGTATTATCTTGTTTAATTCTCAGCACACTCCTTGGTGAGGGAATCAGAGGCACAGAGAGGTGATGATAATTGCTCAAGGTGAATTGACTGGTAAGGGATTTGAACCCAGGTTTGTTGGGCTCCAGTGATGCTATTGATTGATTCTAGCATACCATATGACTGTGCATCTGAAACACTAACCCTCTCCAACTTCAGTGCTCTTCCCTGTCTGCTAACGCCTCCCGCTGGTAGCAGACTGCTGCCTTGGTTTTTCAGCAGCTTCCTAGGGGCAACTACCATTCGTACTTACCCCCAAAGTCAGGATTTTCAATGGTCTTCATCTCATAATACTTGTTATGTGCTGTTGAGTCGGTTCCGACTAATGGGTTTGAACCACTGACCTTGTGGTTAGCAGGGCTTATCCTACAGTGCCACATCAGGACTCCTCTCATGTAGTGTTTTTGTTGTTGTTACATGCCGTCGAGTTGGTTCTAAACCATAACCACCCTGTATAGGGTTTCCCAGGAGCGACTGGTGGGTTTGAACCGCCGATCTTACAACTCAAACTGACCTCACAGTCCATCGCATTACCCTACAGTGCCACACGAGGACTTCTTTCATATACAGGGGCTTCAAAAAGTTAGTGGGAAAATGGAATGAAAAGATAATGACATTTTCCACCAACTTCTTGAAGCCACCATGTGTATTAAGAGTTGTGTTGTGATGCTCTAGAAAAAGCATTGGACTGCTAACCACAAGGTCAATAGATCAAACCCACAAGACACTCCTTGGAAACCCTGTATAGGGACCACTATGAGTTGGAACTGACTCAATGGCACTTAACATCAGCAACTGTATATTGGTACCATCATCAGGTGAACAAGCCCAGACTAGCCTACTGGAGGATGAGAATCTCAGAGAGATGAGTCAGCGAGGGGCATTCTTATTCGAGCCAGCAGCAACCTGCCAACCCACACGTGCATCCAAAGACACTTGAGTGACCTCCACAGACTCAGAACTGCCCTGTGGAGCCGAGTCCTAACTGCTGATCCAGAGTGTGCTGCGTAAATAATCATTGTTTAAAGATACCAAGGTTTGGGGTCTATTTTTTTTTGCAACAGAAGCTAACTGATGGACATTTATTCATTGCAGGCTAACAGCAACAATAGTAACAAGTGTGCATAATGTACCAAGTACTGTTCAAAGTACTTTTTACACATCTTGCTTGTCTTCAAAACAATCCTCAGTATATTGTTATTGTTTTCATTTGCAGGCTAGGGCACTAAGGCTGGGAAAATTCACCGTCCTTCCCCCAGGCTGCCAGCTAGTAATGGGAAGAATGGGAATTCAGACTCATGATTCCCCTCCCCCCATGGATCACTGGATCCCTCCAGTTACCTTAACTAACAACATGAGGAGGAAAGTACACGCAAACAAAGCAGCTCCACTTACCTTTTCCCAGAGGAAATGGACTGGCTCCGGGTGTACCTGGGGGAGGCCCTAGGGTTTGGGGAGCGGGAAGAGTGGCTAGAAGAGCGGGTGCTGGCATAGGAAGAGCTGCGGGAGCACACTTGTGTCGGGGAGCTCCGAGCCGTGGATGGGACCCGACTGGACTTCTTCACCTCGGAGCATTCCAGGCATGGTGACTGGAACCGTCTGTGGAGCAAGGAGGTTTGTTAGCACTGGGGCTGCCTGCTAGCCCGGGAGCCTGTGGAGCTAAGAAATCTCCCCTCCACCCCTGTGCATAGCCAGTTCTGCTCTGCCCTACAGGGTTGCTGTGCGTGGGAATTAACTCAATGACAGCAGAGGTTTTGTACCACAGTTGACCTTTGAACCGTGTGAAGGCTTAGGGGTACCAGCCTCTTGTGCAGTCAAAAATGCATGTATATAGTTAAGCCTTGAACCATGTGGGTTTGAACTACCTTCTTCTTCTTGAGTGCCGTCGAGTGGTTCTGACTCATAACAACCCTGTGTAGGGTTTCTGAGGAGGAGCAGCTGATGAGCTAGAGCCATGGTTATTGCGGGTCAACCCAACCTTGCAGTCCAGTTCATTAACCCACGTCGCCACACCAGGATCCACTTGTCAACCCAACCTTGCAGTCCAGTTCATTAACCCACATCGCCACACCAGGATCCACTTGTACACACCTGTTTGCTTTTACTGCTGCTACTGCACGAGCTCACATGTTTCGAGTGTCCACGTAAAACACGTGTGGTGCTCACCGTGTGGTCTGGCCAGTGCAGAGCACAGGAGCGTGCTGAAGTAGCAGCAGGAAAAAAACCCTTGCAAAAGTGAGCCTCATGTAGTTCGAGCCTGCATTAGTCAAGGGTCAACTCTACTTTTTTTAAAAAAAAAAAACACTTCCCAAGTCACATATGGTGGAGTAGAGAGAGCCTAGTCGGGCATTTCATAGTGTGAGATGCAGCCACAGATGGGACAGAATTAAATACACTGTTTCACTATATAGCTTTACTTATGTCTTCTATTTTGGGACAAGCGGTACTATCTTTCCAAATTAAGAGGGTACAATGAGTTTTCTCTATACTTATATAAAAAGTGAGCTTATTAAATTAATTAGCAATGCATGGATATGTAAAAATCTTGAGAAATTTTTTTGTAGCCTATTTTGCAGATGTGAAGAAGGATGATTGATGGCTTATTCAAAATCATCCAAAGGGGGTCTGTCTTCTGTATGCGTCCATCGTATCTCCACCTCCCCACCCCCTTTTAGGGTCATGCTGGGCTTCTGTTGGGTACGCAGCAAAGATGCACTTATTTTATTTGAATTGAGCCAAGGGTCAAGTTCACATCATGTGAATATGTTTTTCAAGGTCTTTTATGACTGGCCCCTGCTTACCCCTTCGGTTCTTTGTCACTTTCTTCTCCTGACACCAGCCATACTAGGCTACTCGTTCCTCCTGGCATCTCTCTCTTCTCTGCTGTGTCTGCCAATCTTGTAACAGACTGCCCTCCTCTCTTCATGTGTCAGGCCTCCTCTCCTGGAAGCCTTCTTCGATGCCTCTCTAAGTCTGGGTTGTGTGATTTCTAATATACTAGTTCAGCCCTGAGCCCCTAAGCAACTCCATCCCTCTGTGACTCATTGGGTCTAAGAGTTGTCAGACAGCAGGTTGCTTAGGGCTGGGGTCATGGGGTCCCAGTGCTGTATCCCAGGACTTAGTGCATGGCCTGGTTATGAAAACCGATGGTCATATCTTTGTCCCAGAGAGTAGCGGATGGGTCCAAACAACCGGTCTTTCAGTTAGCAGCTGAGCGCTTCATCACTGTACCACTCGGCTGTCTGGGTACATCCCTGTGTACACACCCTTTGAACTTGTTCACTGTCTTGTGCACTTGACAAGCAGAATCTTATGGAATGCTTCTAGCGACCTCATGAACCTAGTACTATAATTATCATTATCCCCAGTTTACTGAGAAGATTCAGGTTAGTCACGTGCTTGAGACCACCCAGGGTCTCAGACCCTGTTCCATCATCTCTTAAACCTACACCCCCCTTCCCCCCAACTCTTCCACCTGCAGGTTCTCTGCTCATAGCTGGCATGTCTGAGTATACAGTCATGGATCTAAAGATCACTTGTAATGCAAAGGGAAAGGCAGAGTCTGAATGACTGAATTTCCACTAGCTACACATCACATTTGGTATCCTGGTGTGGCACTGTGGGTTAATGTGCTGGACTGCAAAGTCGATTTGAACTGCAAACTCACCAGCGGCTCCTTGGAAACCCTCTACAGGGTCATTATGAGTCAGAACTGACCTTGATGGCACTAAACAACAACACACATCACACTAGAGCCCTGGTGTAGCACTGTGGGATAAATCACTGGACTGTAAAGTCAGTTTGAACCACAAGGTCGGTGGATCAAATTCACCAGCCTCTCCTTGGAAACCCTGTACAGGGTCATTATGAGTCAGAACCAACTTGACAGACAATTCTACCTGTCCCTCAGACTTTAACTCCAATTCTGGAGACAGACGTGCATTTTAATCCAGCTGCTGCAGCTGATTCACTGAATTGCTTAACCACACTGAGCCTCAGTTTCCTCATCAGCCAAACAGTACCTAAGCCCTAAAGATTTTCTGAAGAATCAAGAGACATTATACCCAGAGACAGGAGTCCTGGCTGTGCAGAGGGTTAAAGTGTTGGACTTGTAACCACAAGGTAAGCAGTTTAAACCCAGTAGCTACTCCGAGGGACAAAGATGAGGCTGTTTGCTCCTGTAAAGATGTACAGTCTCCGGAACCCTATGGACCAGTTCTACTTTGTTCTACAGAATGGCTAGGATTTGAAATTGACCCCATGGCATGTAGTTGTTGTTAAATGCCATCAAGTCAGTTCCGACTCATAGCGACCCTGTCTAGGATGTCCAAGGAGCGGATGGTGAGTTTGAACTGCTGATCTTGTGGTTCAAACCAGTCTTGTGGTCCAGTGTTCGATCCTACAGCATCAAACAGGGCTCCATGGAGTTCGAGCTCTGTATGTTAACGCTGTTCGTATTGACGGCATTGATGGTTCAGTGGCAGAGTTCTTACCATCCATGTGGGGGAACTGGGTTTGATTCTCAGCCAGTGCACCTGATGTACAGTTAGTAGTCCAGTGCTTACCCTGCAGCAACACACCAGGACTCCAACAGGAGAGTAATAGGCAGGCAACTCTTGTGACAGCTTACATGTTGCTATGATGCTAATGAGGATTCAACAGACTCTTTAGACTAAGATGGACTAGAAAGAAAGGGCTGGCAATCTCCTTCTGTAAATCAACCAGTAAAAACACTGAGGAACACAGCAGTTCAGTCTGCAACTGATAATGTGGATGGCACTGAGCTGGGCGGTGTTCTGTTTGTCATGCTGGGGACTGCGATAAGTGCTGGGCTGACCGGACGCTAGCTTAGGATAGTTATTAGTACTAGCGTTGTTATTGCTATGAGCAGTTTTTTCTTCATAAATGCAGGACAGTGGACACATGTCCTCTTCCCTCATGTGGGAACATCACTGCCTGTTCTTGGAGACGCTGACAGTTGTTCTGACCCAGCCTGGCTCTATATCCAGCGAGGCTATGAGTTGAGGCCAGGGATGTTCTGAAGCAGACAAACCAGAGGTCAGGCCTACGTGCGCATGCCAAGCTGTTAGTTCAGGACTCTGTGTGGTTGGGGACAAACAGTGGCCTGTCTTTGAGAAAGCTGTTAATGCTTCACTGCCATAGCTTTGGCCATCTTTCCAAAGTCCCGGCCATTCTGAACACAGGCAGACCCCTTCCCCTAAGAGACCCAAGCAGAGCCAAATGACAGAAACTGAGCCAAGCAGCCAGGGAGCCCCTGCCCTGACAGTTTGCTGGTATTGTGCCCACAGATGTCACCAGTACACCTCTTCCTACCCCTCCCATGCCCTTGTCCACTCCGGCCAGGAACAGGACCATGCTATTTTTAGCCCAGTAGCTGCCATGCAGGAGGTGCCTGAAAGCAAATTAGGGGTGAGCTAGCTGGGTCAGTCAGTCAGTTGTTGTGGCTGCTACTGTACTGCTGGCATACCGGCGTGTTGCCGTAGGATAAACACTGGGCTACTAACTGCAAGGTTGGCAAACCCACCAACCGTTCCTCTGAAACCCTATACAAGGGTCACTATGAGTTGGCGCTTAACAACAAATTGTGATTACTCTCAGCGATTAGCTTTTGGCTGTGATTTCTTGGAGTAAGGGGCAAGGAGGTGTTAGGGTGACAAGCTGGCGTGTGTGCATGGAGGGTCTTCTGCAAGAAAACCACTATGTGTGTGCAGATGGTCAGGTGTTGGGAAGTGTCACTGTCCTTACAGCTTCATCTCCCTTACCTAAAACTGTCCTCGGGCATAGTCTTCAATGACAGTGACTTACCATGAGTTTAATGGGAAACTTTCTCCTGTGATTACTGGGGAAATTGGCACCTGGTTTTGCCTCCAGTCCTCTTCCTGGAGGGAGCATCTTGGTTTCTTCCTTCCAGGAACCCACCCTCCCACCACTCGAGTGTCAGTGAGAGGATCCCTGTGACACGCTGACCAAGGAGAGCACAGCGTATCCAAGCCACAGTGTCTGGTCTAGGGCTGCTGGGTAAATGGCTCAAGCTGGGTCAAGCAGAGGCAGCAAGCAGCTGGCCCGGGATTTTGCTGAAATCACTAGAAAAGCGTCTTACTAAACTCATACAACATACGTGGGTGATAAATGTGTCAAGACTTAAGGGTGGTCTGAGGCGTGTGGTGGTTCCATATGATAAGCACAGGACTGCAAACCACAAGGTCCACCAGCTGCTCTACTGGACAAAGATGAAGCTTTCTGCTAACACAAAGATTTAAAGCCTCAGAAACCCTCAACACGGTTGCTATGAGTCGGAACTGACTCTGCGGCACTTAACAACGGAAACAACAAAGACGGTGTACTTGAGAATGCCAGGAGCCCTCTTAGCCTAATGGGGTACAAGCTGGGCTACTAACCCCAAGATCAGTAGTTTGAATCCATCAGCCCCTCCACGGGAGAAAGATGAGGTTTTCTGCTGCCTGGAAGATTTATAGCTTCAGAAACCCTCTACAGGGTCACTGTGAATTAGAACTAGCTCGATGGCACACCACAGCCCCCACCACCAAGGATGATCTACTTGAGAATGGAGCCAACAGAAAGGAAAGCAGAACAGATGGAATGGGAAAGATGGATTCCCAGTGGCAATGTATGGAGGCCCTAGATCCAGCTGTGGAGTTGGGTGTTCTCTCTTGCAGTACCTAGGGTGAGAGAATGAGCTGGTAGAGTTAAGGTGGGTGCACTCACCTTGACTCTCTGCCCCTGGTGGTGGGGGAGAGATTCTCCAAGGTTGCCCCCTTGTTCTGGGGGGAGGAGGTGGTGAAGGAGTTCCCTGAATCGGAGGTGTTACCACTGTTGAGCTCCCGGCTCTTGTTCAGACCCCCACTGGGGCTCCCCTTCTCCTGACCCCGAGACAACCTGGCCGAGCTGGTCTGCGTGGAGGGTGGCGAGGATGTGTCGTGGCCGGAGTCGTACTCCTGGGAACGTCCTCGGGAGGTGGGGAGCGGGCTGGCTGTTTTGGTAAACAGGTCAGCAGCAGACCCCGACCCAGTGATCTGAAAGCAAAAAGACCCGTTGGACACCGCTGAGCCCTGTGCCGGTGGGGCTGTGCTAAATAACCAAGAAATGTTTACCGTCATGATGCACTGTAACGAAAGGAAAGAGAGAGGAGGAGAGACGCCAAAAAAAAACAAAAACACAAATTCCTGAAAGGATACCACAGAAAGGAGATATTTGTTTACCCCCTGCTAGGATAACGGGAAGGTTTAGAGGTCATGCAGAGAAAAAGCATGCGGTCCAGATTAAACCAAAGAAAAAGGAAATTATATGGAATTTAATCTCTAATGAATTAACTCAAACAAAAGAGAAAACTCAATAGAAAGAAGGGGGTGGGGGTGTAAACACCCTTAACTCAACCTAAAAAAAAAAATAGCAATAAAAATAAAGGAAGGGGGAGGGGGGGAAAAGAAACGGGGCACATGGGCCTGGAAAAATATATTTTGGAAATTAAAAAAAAGGAGATAAAGCCCAAAATTTAAACTTCAACCAAATCCTCAAATGAATTTGACTCCTTTTTTTTTTGTTGTTAAAGAAAAAGTTGCCCGAATAGAACTCTAAACAAATATCACGTGGGGAAAAGAAACGAAATAAAGTTGAGAGTTTTCAGTTTCTTAAAACATAAAGTCAAGGTCGCAAACTGACACTTTGAGCAATTTTTCACTAGTGGTGAAAAGAAAGGAGAGGGACAAAAAAAAAATGGAAGTCAAACAGTCTGACTGAAAACAAACAAAAAAAGGTCTCTACGGATACTTGTGTGTGTCCTTTCCCCCTGTAGAAGGTAGCTAGGGCTCTCAAGTGGCTTCTAACAAATTCTCTCATGTCTTTGCGGATTATATCCACTTACCAAGCAAGGACTCCTCCTTTAGTAGGTAGGTAAGGTGTAAGAGAAAGGGAAGAGCGGGCAACGTGAGTCCATTGTTAGAGTCGCAAATGACAAGAAAAAACACACACCTTTCTGCATATCCTCACACTGGGCCCTGAACTTTGAACTTTGGTTGTTATGCTCTTGGCAGATGGGGCATCCACTCCAAATTTGGTTTTATCATTGGGTGACCTCAAGCCATCAACTCTAACTTAGTCCCTCATGCCCAAGTTGTGTTAGGAAACCCTTGCTGAATTACAAATGGCAGCCAGAGGTTGCATCTCTCTCGGTGTTCATGTTGAGGGGACAAAGGATGTATGTACTACAAAGGGCTTTGGAAAGGATTTGGGGGTTTGGCTTTGGAGTGACTGGGAGTGAGGAAGAGTCCTTGGAATCCTGTTTAGAGCTGATCTAGGGGAGATGAAGGGGTAAAGGAGGTAGACAATGGCATGTTTAGAAGTGCAATAGATGGGATTCTTTAACATGGTCAGACCAGTATCATTGCTGGGACAACATGGGGGTTTCGGTCCTGCCCCTGCCAACCATGCCAAATATGCTTAGCTGTGGGTAAGAGGGATTCCTGTCCAGGGTCTTCTTGATTGTTGACCTTCACCAGAAGGTGAGAAATTATGGAACCAAGAGGGCAATCCCATCGGGAACCTTCTTCTCCCTAAGCCAGACTACTTTCTGGGTACTTGAGATCCCAGAATTCTGTTTAAATGCCTCCCCTGAGCCTCTTTCAGGGTCTCTGCTGGTGTCTTTCAAAGATCTGTTATCCCGAGAGTGGGCCATATCCCAAGCGGGCACACTCCTAGGTCTGAGTGTGCCCATACATTTAGAACGTGGGCATTCATGCATGTGTGTGAGGTCCATCCTGGTGTTGAATGGTACCAGACGTGGACAGAGAGAGAGGCTGGGGTCTAGGATCAACTTAGCCCACACTGCCATGTTCAGACCTGGCCTCCATGGGATCTAAGATTCTAAATTCAAATCACTGTGAAGGTATGCTTGCAGAGACAGGAAAACATAATTGATGCAAATTTGTTGACTAGAATTATACATATTTAGACCTACAGTAGGTGCACTGTGGGATAAGCACTGGACTGCTAACTGCATGTTTGGCAGTTCAAACCCACCATCTGCTCCTTTTTCACTGTCTCTATTCCAGGTCCCTCGGACAGAGGAGTGGGACTTTGGGGGCTTTCTCAGAACCATTTCTGTCTTGATGAGACACATCACCACCAGAACCGTGGCAATAATGGCCCTAACTCCAGCAGCTCAGGGATTCAGCGTCCGGAGCTGGGGAGGCGGGGCTTCCTTTATAGATTCTCCCAGGAGGCTTTGCACACAGACAAGGTTCTGGTTCAACTTTACCAAGTTCTATCCGGCACTCTTCTCACTTTACCTGCTTGGTGGTCTGGCTAGCTTTGCTGTGAGAGAAGGGACCTCAGAATACAATATCCCTAGTGGAACTGTTTAGCACGAGACTTATTTAGAAATACTGTAAAGGCCTGCTTCTCATCCACCTCTTATTGTCTCCCTTTCACAGTTTGGAGGCCATATCTTGCCCATCTTTGTGGAATTCACTGGTGACAGTGTATTCCCAGTACCTCTATTACAGATGAGGACAATCATGCAAGGCACTCAGATTCTGAACCTGAGCTCTCAGGCTGGGGTGGTGGCTCATGGACTCTGCCCAGATATGATAACTGTTTGCCAGCTGCTATATATTATCAGTGAATTTTGGGCAAGACTGTTTCACAGGGGGTCAGGCTGGAAGAGAATTCAAGTGAGAAATGGGACAGTAAGGTCAGTCTCTGACTCCTGAAAGGGTCATGTTTTCATTACCTGGAAGCTTGCTACCTGGAGACAGTCAGGCTGGGCCTTTCTTTCACCCAAGAACTTGTTCTCAGCCTTAATTCTAAAGTTGGAAGCATCTCCCTGGTGCATCATGGAGCCCCATGAGCTAGGATTCCAGGAGAGTGAGGGGACTTTGCCTTGTTCATCTTCTCGACCCCACACCTGAACTCTGGGGCACTTACAGAGTTTGCCCACCTGATTTTATTCATGTCCACAGTTATCTAGTCCAGCTGGAACTGAGAACTCTATAAAGCATCATACCATTCCATCAGCAGCAGAGAGCCAAGATAAAAGCACTGATCAAACATTGTCGTTGTGTTGTCCCTTGTGCCAGAAAATACCAACCTTCCCTTTGTGTTTAAAATCCTTATTTCTATGAATAAATCTAAAATTTTGAGGACAGATTAGAGTGCCCTTTATAATCCTGCCCACTACCCTCTGCCTAGAACATTTCCTCTCTTCCCCTCTTCACCTGCCTGAATGTCTTTATCTTTCCTGGCACCTCCTCTAGGAAGCCGCCTCTCCTTTCCCACACCTGGCTGGCACGACACTTTGTACTTCATTCATTTGTTTATCTTATGCTCACTCAAAACTGAGCACCTTCTGTGTCCTTCAGGGAGCCTACTGCTTATTTTAGTGCCTGTCTCCCCATCTGGGAGGGGCACTTGCTCAGGACAAGGGCCACAGCTGGTTTCATGTGGTTCTCCAGTAGCCACCAGTGTCTGGCATGAAGTGTGTGTCAGCAGATCTGGTTGAATGAACAGAGCTGCTCCACAGACCCTTGGTAGCCTCTCTGCGTCCATCCTAACTTCATTCATTGGTAGAGATGATGAATGATCATACCCTGGTGGAGTCCAGCAGAAGAATTTTCTGGAAGGACTGGCTCCATCATACTCAAAATAGTTCTAACAACTAGGCAGACCCTTTGCTACGTAGCTGGATCTCAATACTGCCTCAGGGACAGGTGTGTGAACTAGATGGATAACTTGTAGGTTCGTGTCCTCTTGACAGTCTCTCAGACTCAGGACCGACAAGACAGCACACAGGCTGTGTGCCAGGCTGCAGGTAGGAAGTTCGAGACCCGAGCAGCCTTCCAAGTAGGACAAGCTGTGCCGACTTTCCCAGCTTCCTTTCCATTCTCTGGGACTCTGTTTAAAGGTGGAATGCTGGACTGGGTGTGGACATGTGCATGGCAACAAAGACTGTTAGTCCATCGAGTGCATTTGTTCTTCTGGGTCAGGAATCTGAAAAGGGTACTCCCTCTGGTCAGACAAATTTGAAAGAAGACACACTTCTCTGGACTGAAGTATTCAGAGCTAGGTGGTAGAGGTCTAGGGTGGGAATGGTTGTCATTGAATTGCCTCTGATTCCTGGCAATGTCATGCGTACCAGAGAACTATACTCCAGGGAAATTGCTGATTTGGGGGGGATGTAGATTGCCAGGTCTTTCTTCCAAGGCACCTCTTGATTGACTAGAACTTCCAACCTTTCAGTTAGCAATGGAGCACATAAACTATTTGCACACCACCCAGAGATGCCAAACGAAGTGTAGGTGGGTTTTCCATGCTCCCTTACCCTCTCGGTACAGGGCCCTGGCTAGCAGCTATTGAAAGTCTACACTTTCTCACGCTACTGGCTGTGGTTTGAGAATTTGGGGGAGGGGCTGGAGGTAGGGAGCTAGAACCCAGACATACACCTCTGCATCTTTTCTGCTGAACTCTGCTTACTTTTGTCTGTATAGTTAGGTCTTGACTTCGCTGTCTGTACTTACAGCTTCTCAGTACACTCAGCATTAGCAATGTCTAGACAGTCTAATGGCCTTCCACCCCCAGATGCTTCGTCTCTAGAGTGCCCTGTCTGCCCACATGAACAGGAGGGAAGACATCATTGAGGGGGAGACCCAGGCAGGTTGGGGATGGGGATGATGGCCCTGAAAATGCCCAACAGACCTTCAAGTCCTGGGCATCACGAAGGCCGCGTCACGCTCCTGCCCCTGAGTTTCATCTCGGTGTCTGTCTCCTAGTCAAATACTCCCCTGGTGCTGAAGGTGCAAACAGCTGCCCACTGGACACTGATGAGACAGGGTGGTCTCTTCATGGCAGTAATAGACGTTATAGAATTACCTTTGCAAAGCCCTTTGAGCTCTGGGAGTTACTCTTCTTAGGCCCCCTGATATCTAGTGACAGTGCCCCAGTTCCCTGACGATGGCGTGGGACCTTTATACCAGGGCTCTCTGGTCCGTCTGGTCTTACCCCTCCCTCCCTTTCGGCTGTG